TAAAGGAATAAATCAAAATCTCTTCCTTATATACTCCTGCCGAAATTTTAATTTGCTAATTCTTAATCTTAGGAATTATTGCTACCAGCTGGGCACAATGGCTCATGCCTGTAATTGTAGCACTCTGGGAGGCAGAGGTAGGAGGATCACTTGAGCTGGTTCATGACCACCTGGGCAATACAGCAAAACGCTGTCTCTACAAAAAGCAGAAAATTAGCCAGGTGAGGCAGAAGGATCACTTGGGCCTGGGAGGTCGAGCCTGTAGTGTACTCCAGCCTGGGTGACAGAGAGAGACCCGGTCTCCAAAAAAAAAAAAGAGAGCAAGCATTACTACTTACTACCAATTACTACTATCCAAGCATGACAAAAATCAACAATTCTTGATAAGGCTGAGGAAGCAGAATGAGAAAAAAATATCCCAATGTATGCAACGTATGTAGGATCAGATTTCTATGAAAAGAATTTGTTCCTCTTTCACTCGTTTATTCACTAGTTATTTACTGACCACTCACATGGTGCTAAGCACTGTAGTAAGCACCAGAGGTATGATACAGAAATGATAAACAATACACCAGACTTCTTAGAATTTGTTTCTAGTGAGGAAAACAAATACTTTTTAAAGTAAACAAACATATAAATAAAATGATAGTTTCATAATCTGAAGAAATAAGGATCTACTTCGCATAGGGTCAGAAACAGCCTTTCTAAGGAGGTGGTATCTAAATCAAGTCCTAAAGACTGAGAAGCTACCAGATGTGGCAACGGTGTGAACAGAGTCATGGGATGATCAAAGTTCAAGGCCTTGTTACAGGAAAGAACTTTGGCCCTTTTACAAACTGCCTGAAAGCTGGTGTGACCATAGCATGGGAGTGAGGAGGGATTGTCCTGAAATGATACAGAGGAGGCAGGGATACCCAGATTGTGTAGGACCCTCATAGACCTTGGTAAGTAGTTTGGGTTTAGCTCTACATGCAGTGGGAATCTATTCAAGAGTTTTAACCATGACAGTAACAAGATTTGATTTACATTTTACACCATTCTGGTAGTTCATAAGGTTATAATAGACCATAGGATGCAAACATCAGCCCAAACAAGAGATCATGTTGGAGCTAGCTTGGTAACAATAAAAATGGAAAAGAAATGGACAAATTTTAGAAATAATTGCCGTTCTAAGAACAATCTTTGCTCATGTCCTTGGAAGTCCCTTTGTTATGGGATTATCTGAAAAACAACGGAGGCTATCAATTATCTTTTTAAATGGATGAAGTTCAATGAAAAGAGGGAGGGAAAAAAAAAAAAGACCTAATTTAAATCTCAGCCTGGACCTATCCTAAATACAGAAATGTATGCAAGTTACTCAACATCAATGAACAGCACTTTACTCACCTATGAAACGGGAATAAATGACAGCTACCTTTCACAGAAGCATTATGAGGTTTAAATAAAAGTCCTGGCAATCTGCCTATATATTTTGTTCATATACATATGCTCTATAAATGTTAATATTTACTCCCACTCCTGTAGTTAACAGCATTTTCTACTGTCCTGAATGGAGAAGGAGTTATTTAATACCAGGGAATGCATTTTTGATGATGGAATTTCAAGCAAGAGCACATTAGAACACAGGAGATATTTTGAGGCGAGGAAGCATTCCCCTGAAACCAAGTGATTACCCCACCTACCATGACATAAGAGCATTCAGGCTACTGTGTATATTTTTAAAATACTTGCTCTTCAGAAAAATCAAACTATTAAACATTGATTAATTCTGCTTAAAATACAAAGGTAGTCAATACACTTTTTACTTAAATAGGAACCATTAATATCAACTACTATAAAGCTGACAGTGAGACATTAAAATCCTAAGGATTTTACTAAGCAACCATTATTCTTATACCAACAGAACTAGATTTACAGAAGGAAAAGATCAAAACAAGACTTCTATTACAGCACATGTAGAAAAAAATGCCCACCACAGCTGGGCTTAAATTTGCCGTTTTAAAATGAACATTTAAAAGCTGATGCTTACTTGCTAAAGAATAAAGCAATAAAAGACAGAATACTTTTAGGACCTAGTAACACTGATGTTAAACTCATAAAACGTTTTATTCTGTGTAGTGAGGCTCAGTATAATTAGTGTCAGGGTTTATCTAATTTTGGCCTTTTAAAATTATTAAATTTCATATCTACTATGACATATTCCTGAGATTGTGAGAATTTTTATTAATTTCCATGAATTTCAACCTAAATACATTAACTTTCTTGAGAAGGTTCCTCATTCACAGCAGCTGGTCTGTTTGTTCTCTCAACAGACACTTTTGTTCATTTACTGAGAGAACAGAATAAAAAGATAAGAGGGGGATATCTGCAGCACGACATATAATTCTAATTAATTACCATGAAAGGCAGGGAGTTGCGGGCTCACCACAGCATTACAGACTTATCATTCAAGACATCTTAAAGAGCATTTTATCCATGGCTAATATTCAGCTAAGACACACCAAGACGGGTAAATGAGATCTGTATAACTAGTATCTGTTCTATTGCTTTGGGTCCACGCTGTATCAGCTGTTTAAATACTTTTACTATCACTAAGATTTCAGTCCCCAGTTGGCCTGGGCACTCCCGTAGGGGCTCTAGATTTGAAGGTTCGAAATGTAAACTGGAAGACAGTTTACATTTCTGGGCTCACAATTTAGAAAGATAAAAACTTTTAAGGGCAGGCATAGACACATTTCAAAGTTTCCAAGATAAGACTGAAAGAAAATCAGTAGCACTTAACCTACAGAAAGAAAAACGATTACAGTCAATCAATTTGTCACTTTTATAAGCTAATAGAACAAAAGAAGAAAGGGTTAAGATGAAAGACCAAGAATTTTGGTTAAACAAAAAGAATGTCAAGTGATATTATTAAAAAGTAGAAACTGACAGAGATAAAATTTGTAAATAACTTCTGAAACAGATTACATCAGTGTATAATGGTGGTCTTATCTGAAGATTAAGCAATTTCTCAAATTTTGTTATAGACTGAAATAGACACAGAAAAAGGTGGCAGTCAAGAAACTGAAATCCTCATAGTCCCCACTGCTAACATTCAATATCGCTTAGGACAGCCACTTCAGTAATTTGGACCTCAGTTTCCTCATCTGCAAAATTAGAGGGTCTAATTATACGTCTTTTTCTCTCTTAGTTATAAAAAAGTATGATTCTAGTTTAATATGGTTTATGGCTAACACAATATGGCAAGAATACAGGGGTAAGCCATGGGAATATATCAACGATTACATATAATGAGGGAAAGAATAGGTACAAATGCATTATTACAATGCATTAAATTACTACTTTGATACAACAAATGGTATACCAAGTAGTATGAAATTTTTTAAGAAGCTTGGCAAGATAGTTATACCAGGAAACGAACTATCTATCTAGGTCACCAATACTGTACACGAATATACAATCAAGTAACAATTATACATTATAATATTTGGTACCAAAATACCATGCTTGCCTTCTGAAGGCACAGATGCTTTTTAATTTTTGTTGATGTTATGTTTTGTTCATAAGAATAAGAACATTTGCATTCTCGAAGCATATGGAAATTAATGGTGAGAAAAAGAGATACTAAAATGTCTTAGGTTGTAGAGGGATTAAGAAATTCATTCCTGACACACCAACGATGTACTCTAGATAAAAAAGATATGATCTTCATCCATCTATTAGCAATAACTTATCATAAATGCACTCAATATTTTCACTTAAAAATTAACTCACCAAATGGAAGCATTTTATGAAATATGGCATGAAACTTAGTAATTAAGAGCTTCCCTACATTCTCAAAGAAGCTGAGGTGACATGCAATAAAACATACATAAACAATGTGTGAATTTGGCCATCTTACTTATTTATATACAAGTTAAAATTAGATTTCCAATCCTATACTCTGACACCTAAAAAGAAATGTACTTAATTCTGGAAGGTTTTCCTTAAGGTGACCACAACTAAAAACTTCAGTATATCACACATGATGAAAGCACTGGACTTTTTTGGATCATTTAGCTTCAGGTACATGATTAATACTTTTTGAGAAAAAATATAAATGCCCATATCTTACTGTCTCCCAAAGATAGCTGAAAACTTTGTATAGAAAAAAGTTTTCCTCCTAAACACTTTCTCTACAATGACTAATTCACCAGTAGGCAAAAAGCTTAAAGAATGTAGAATAAGAGAATAAAAGAACTATACTAAGTGCTTACATGATGAGGGAAATAATCAATGCTACAAAGGACATATTTTAAGTCTCATTAAGAGCAAGTCATAGTCATTACCTTCAAAAAAGTTCTAATATTAAAAGTTAAGAAATAACAAGCTACAAAAACATGCACATATCCTACTGTCACACCAAAGAGAAACTTAATGTCTCAGTTAGAAAAAGTGTGCATCTGAAGCAGAGATAACATAATCTACTCTTTTGCTATAATATGTGATCAATAGCTGAATCACTTAACGTAATGATCAATAAATATCTTTCCTTTAGTCTTAATAAAGGTATTTTCACTTAAGGGTATGGATTAAATATCTATAAAACTAATTCTACTAAATAAAAGACTTCAACTCTGAGTACATGTAGAAATGCCAATGTGACTGTGAGAAAGAATGAAAACATCTTGATTACCACAGTCATTGTTATTTACTCATAAGTGTCAAAAGCCTTAGGAACTTTCTAAAAGTGCAAAGAGAAGACATACAAGTTGCAATGCTCAACTCCACATTCCATGTAGTATTGTATGAATACATTTATTTCTGTTTTAAAAGAATACCATTCATACCATTTATTTTCTTACAATAATCATTATTGCACAATCTCATTTCAGTATTATATAAGTATTTTTCTGTGGATTATAATCCTTTAGGCAAATCACGTTATAGAAAGAAATCTAATCATCACTCAACCTAATTTTTAACTTCATCTGAAATGGAGAATACATTCACAAAATCACCTGACAAGCAATCTGCACGAGGTAGACCAGCTCTTTAGATTCACAGCCATTTTTCATTACTTCATTCTGTTCTTCTGAAAGTGAAAGCTACATCACAGAAAAAAAAGAAGAGAGGGAAAGAAAGTCATTATTAGTGAACAAGAATAAACTAAGAATTCATAATACCTGCAGCATCATCTCCAGGTGAGCATCAGTTTAACGTGAGACATACCTTATATAAGAACTTTATTGTTTAAGGCAGATGAATGAAGGACTTGGTGTTTCAGATAAAATATAGTGTAGCTTACATCTAAGGGTCTTCACTTCCTTAATCTATTTAATACATACATGAAACTAAGCACTGAGAGATAGTATGACTTAACAGTTTAAAAGAGCTCAGACCTTATTACATAGATACAAAACTGGCTGCTCAGGTAACAGGTTGGGTCTATGGACATGTTTAATTTCAGAATCACCATGTAGTGGGGTGAGGAGGAGGTGGGGATGGTTAATGGGTACAAAATAAATAGAAAGAATGAAAAAGACCTAGTATGTGATAGCAACAAGGTGACAATAGTTAATAATAATTGTGCAGTTTAAAATGACTAAAATAGTATAACTGGATTGTAACACAAAGGATAAATGCTTGAAGGAAGGATACCCCATTTTCCATGATGCTATTATTACAGATTGCATGCCTGCATGAAAACATCTCATATACCTTATAAATATATAAACCTACTCTGTATCCACAAAGATTTGAAATTTAAAATTTCAAAAAAAAAATTCACCATGTAGGTCTACACACTGGATTTTACTTTTATTTAAACCAGCTACTAACATGTATTTTTCACATGAAAAATACAGATTTCTGGCTTCTACTGAAAAATCAGAAAATTGGGAAGATTGGACCTACATTCTCACATGGGCAACAGCTATAGCTACAGCTGAGAAATGACCATCACCTTTAAATGAGGTATATATTCCCCAAGAAAGTCTGTCACAGAACTGACTACCCTCTAGTTTTCTTGCTAGTATCTAGGCTGAGTATTAACTGTCATTCATCATGCTATTTGCTTTGTTATTTTTCTTATACCCCACTTGCTTTACTCACTTATGTTATACACCTACCCCATCTTTGGATGTCAATTTGCAAACGTGGTCCCAGAGATGGACAACCCTAAGTTCAAATGTGTTTATAACTGGCTATGTAATATTGACCTACCTGCTTAGGCTCTCAACTGGAAACTGAGGATGATACAATATTATGTATTTTCAAGTTTGTGGGTATTAAATGTGATGATGCATGGACAGTGTCCACCCAGGTAACTAATACTTAATAAATGTAATGTACCATTATAATTCATACTATATGAAATACAAGGTTGATGGAGATATATTCTCTATTGAGGAAAGTGGTATCACAAAGTCTTTTTTTAAACTTCAGATACTAAGAAGTTGTTCACAAGATAACAATCATTCTCCCATTAGCCCCAAAAAGCCAGGTTAATGACAAAAGCATAGTTTTAAAAAGAAATCAAATAATTAAGGGTGAAAAGAAACCTACATGAACTAGCTTTCAGAAAGTGACAACACTTTCATGAGACAGAAGAGACTCAAAGATGTGCTTGGACGCCTGGCAGAGATACAAGAGAAAAAAGAATCTTTATTAGACAGGGTAAGGAGAAACCAGCCAAACTTTGAGTGACTGCATATAAACTAAAGTGATAAACTAAAATTACAAGGAGCACCCTGTAGCAGAGAGTTGACACTCACCCACCAACTGATTCCCACAGGTACACACCAGGGGCATCGGGTGAGTAAACCAAAGGCTGCAGGGGAGGAAGAGAACTGAGAGAATGAACCTTGAAGTATGGGAAGCCTCCCCAAGCACAAGGCAGCTAACCTCCCTTGACTGGGAGCATGGCAGTGAAACAGAGGGGAAAAGAGAACTGGGAGATATCCCTCTGAAAGCACTCAGGACACTTAACAACTGAAGGATGGAGGTGGCACAGAAGAGCTGGGAGAAACTGCAGGCCTTCACAGCTAGCCTCAAAGCTCTTGGGTAGGGCAAGGGGAAGAGTGCTCTCCAGAGGCACAAAGTACTGGGGGAAAGAACTGGACAGACAAGAGAAGAAGCGACCAGGCTGCAAGCGGAGAAAGAAAACAGGTTCTCCCTCAGCTCAGATGATTTGGGGCTTCATAGCAAAGCACAAAGATATCTTCAGCATCTCACCACTCTTCAATTTTCCTTGTGAAAGAAATCTCAGAACCTTAACTTCAAAATATTTAAAGTAGTGATAAACTCAATCAAAGTAAAGCTGTCATAAAAGACCAGATCTGTATCAAATAGAGATCAGCCTGATGCACCACCTCACTTCAACAGACTGAAAGAAGAAGAGATAAGCCCTTTCCTGGAGGTAAGTTTACTGACTTTGGTCTCAGCTGTTTTTTCATATATTTCACATGAAAGAATTACAAAACACACAGATAAGCAAGCAAATGTGACACATGGTCATGAGAAGCAAGGGTAAAATAAAGCAGACGCAGAATTGGGCCAGATATAAAAATAATAAGAAAGATAATGTAAATTAAATATAATAGAGATTCTAAAATACAGTTCAACAGGCAAACAATAAATATGCAAAAGCACAAGAGAAAGAGAAGATTCTGGAAAAATGGCAGACTCAGAAGCACCAGGAATCCATCTTTCCACCTAGACAATAACCGCACTGGCAGAATCTGTCTGGTGTGTAACTATTTTGACAACTCTGGTATCTACTGAAGGCCTGCAACTTTCAAGGGAAGGCTTGTATGGGAAACTATAGTTCATTTTGGTCAACATCAGCACTTAAAAAATAACAGCTCCCTATACCCCCGCCACCCCTATAGCAGGCAGCTGTGCACAGACTCCTGGAGCAGCATACACATACCTTACAAGAGCCAAGATAGACAAAAAGAACACCGCCTCCAAATTTCAGAGATCTATGCTATGACTGCAGATCACTGCTTTGAATTGCAGAGGTGCAAATAACTATGTGTCCATTACACCTAGCTCCACTGTTTGCAGGCCCATGCTCCTCTGGCTAAAGTGACTTCCAGCAGACATAAAAGGCCAACACCCTCTTTCTTCCCTGTCTCCCTTTATTTTTCTCTTTTTCCTCCTTCGGGAAAATATAATAGACTAGGACATTCAAAAGCAACTGCACCTATAGAGAAAATCAGAAAGTGACCACACATGCTCAGAGAAAGGTACAGGCTTAGGAAAGACCAAAGAAGACATTAAGTTCCAACTCAGACTGATCTTTGGCACAGAGATAGACTACAACAATCAAAAAAACAAAAACAATAAAAACAGCAGTCCCTGGGGAAGGAGGAGAATCTGGTTTTCAGAGTTACCACATCATTAGATTCAAATGTCCATTTTTCAAAAAAAAAAAAAAAAAAATCACAAGGCATATAAAGAAACAAAGTATGAACCTTTCAAAGGTAAAAATTAATCAAAATGAATCACAGTGGCTCACATCTGTAATCCAGTACTTTGGGAGGCTGAGGCAGGAGGATAGCTTGACGCCAGGAGTTCAAGACCAGCTTGGGTAACATAGAACACCATCTCTACAAATTTTTTTAATAAAAATAGAAATAAAAAACTGTTTCTGAAAAAGATCTGATAGTAGGTTTACAAGACAAACAACTATCTTAAAGATGTTCAAAGACCTAAAGGAAGTTGTGGAAAAAGTCAAGAAAACATTATATAAACAAAATAGAAATATCAATAAAGAAGTAAAAAGCCTAGAAACCAAAATCAGATTTTGTAGCTGAAAAGTATAAAAACTGAAATGAAAAATTCACTAGAGGGATTCAAAGGCAGATTTGAGCAGGCAGAAAAGAGAGTTAGTTAACTTAAAGATAAGACAATAGAAATGATTGAATCTGAGTCATAGGAAGAAAAAATGATTGAAGATAAGTAATAAGAGCCTAAGGGACCCACGGGACACCCTCAAGCAAACCAACATACATATGTAGGAGTACCAGAATAAAAAAAGAGAGAGAAAGGGGCAAAGAGATTATTTGAAAAGATAATGGCCCCAAACTTCCCAAAATTGATAAAAGACACGAATATAAACCTCCAAGAAGCTCAATGAATTGTAAGTAAGATAAACTCAGAGAGACCCACACTAAGATACCTGATAACCAAATGTTCAAAATACAAAGATAAGGAGGCAAGCTTGAAAGAGTCAATATAGGAGTGATTCAACACCTGCAAGGGATCATCAATAAGATTAGGAGATTTCCCATTAGAAACTTTAAAGGTCAAAAAACAGCAGGTCAATATATTCAAAGTGCTAAGAGAACTGGCAACCACTAATTCCATAACCAGCAAAACTGTCCTTAAAAAGTAAGGGAGATGCTCCCAGATTTTAAAAAGCCTAACTTCAGATATTCCCAGATAAAGAAGAGCTGAGGGAGTCAATTACCACTAGACCTGCCACACAGAAATTCTCAAGGAAGTCCTGCAGGGTAAAATAAATTAAAACACATATACACAAACACTACTAACTCAAAGCCATATGAAGAAGAGAGAACTCAATAAAGATAAATATATGGACAATTATAAAAGCCTGTATTACTGTACAATGATAGGTAACTCTACTTTTTATCTAAATGATTTCAGAGACTAATACTTAAAAGAAAATTATTAGTCTAAAGGCTAGCATTACTATTATTATTAATTATTATTATTATTATTATTATTATTATTTTGAGATGGAGTCTTGCTCTGTCACCCAGGCTGGAGCGCAGTGGTGCGATCTTGGCGCACTGCAAGCTCCGCCACCTGGGTTCATGCCATTCTCCTGCCTCAGCCTCCTGAGTAGCTGGGACTACAGGTGCCCACCACCATGCCCAACTAAGTTTTTGTATTATTTTACTGATTTCACTGGGGTTTCACTGTGTTAGCCAGGATGGTCTCGATCTCCTGACCTCATGATCCACCCGCCTCAGTCTCCCAAAGTGCAGCTAGCATTATTTTAACTCTGGTTTGTAATTCCACATCCTTTCCTACATCATTTCAAAGAATAATACATTTTTAAAATTATTTATTTATG